GGACAGAATTAACAAAATATTAAAGGTTATAATTAAATCCAGACAGAAAGAAAAACCAGACACCTATTGCATAACAACACTGTAAAAAAAATATTGTTGGTTTAACTTAAAAAAATAAGTAACCTGGTTGCCTTAAAATTTTAAGTTCATTGAAATGGAAAAATTGAGTTAATACAATGAAGGAAATTGATCTAATCATCAAAAACTCAAAATATTATGTTATCTGAACTACATAAATTATCTAAGTTGATTTGACAAAAGAAAAAAAATACAGTGAAGAGGGAACATTGCACACAGCTGGTGATTTTAAGACTTAGTCGTGCATTATTCAATCCCATTTCAAAGCGGGGAAGAGGATATATATTTTTTTAATTAAATTTTATTGAGAAAGCATGAGTAATTTTACAATTATTTGACATATGAAAGACATTACGTAGCTTTACCCCCTTTTTCCCCTTCTATTACAAGAACGGGGAAGAGGATATTACTTAATATAACTCCTGTTGTGTACGGCTGAAAGAAGAAAGTCATACACAGCTGGGATGTTTTGTAAATTATGGGGTCATTTTCATTTTTGGGTAAACTATTACTTTATATTGGCTTTTGCACTTCAGAAAACACATCAGTCATTGGTTGTAAATGGTTATAGCCTACGTTATTTGGTATGTCTTCAACATTTCTCAAAGCTTGAAGACAGAATTCTTCAGATATAAACCACAATGAAATGTGGCCAGTTGCAAAGCTTTGACTAATAAAACCTGCAGTTTGTTCCAGGCTTCTAAACACTGGAGCAGGGCTGTAAACAGATGAGTGTGTGCGCTGGCCTTCATTATTTCACAGCTAGAGTCCAATAATGAAAACCCCTTGAAAAATGCAGGATTGGCTGCCGATCCCACGTCAACGTAAACTACATGGATCTTAACAAAACCGCTCTTGATTTCACACAATAGGTTTGAATGATTTTTCTGCTCTGTTTTTGATTTGATCATTGTTTAACACACTTTTAGAAAAAAATGTTCTATATTGAACCTTAAAAAATCCTGTCATCATTTACTCACCCTCAAGTTGTTCCAACCCAGTTTGACTTTCTTTCTTCTGCTGAACACAAAAGAAATATTTTGAAGTATATCGGTAACCAGACAGTTGATGGACGCCTTTGACTTTTCCTCCATACTATGGAAGTCAGTAAAGCGAAGTCTTTTTTGGGTGAACCATCTCTTTAAGGGTTCTGTATGCGCTTTATAGAACATATCATTTTAGGTTAATTCATTTAGTTTTAATTAATTTTTTATTGGAATTCAATTGATTTAAACAGCTCACATTTTATCACTAGAAAAAAAAACTGTTAAACATGAACACATTATACTATAATTTAAGGCATTTCCCTTATATAGATCCTTAAAAGAGTCCTTTAAAATGTCAAATACACTCATCTATATTGAACCCCACTGAAGTGAACTTTAGCAAGCACAATATCCTGCCATCGAAACAGTTGAAACCATTGCGGTCTGTAAGTTACTTCTGAGCAAATCAAAAACAGACTCCTGTCGTTGTCTTGGAAACGTGTAATTGGATGACCGCTGCAAGCCAAGCTGGAAAACGTTTGCGGTCAAACCAAGACAGAACAACATAAATCAGTGCGGTTCACCAGCAGGTGATTTTTTTCCTATAAGTCTTTCTCTCCCAACTATGTGCCGTCTCATCCTCCCCTTGTGTTTAGTCTCTCTCGCCCCCCTCTCCTGGGGGCAGACTGAAACCTGATGCCCTGTGAAGACCACAACGATGAAGGTCGATCCAAACAAAACTACCGAGTGTTCCTCTTCCATCAACAGGAACCAAATGTTGTTTTGGTCTTCGAGCTTTCTGTTAGATTATCTGCAAAGTGTTGATATAATGCAAATATAATGCGGCATGATGGTGGTTTAGTGTGGGTAAAAAAACAAACAAAATGGAGGGATTGTGCCTGAGCCATCGTTTATTTAAAATGCTTCTACAAAATCACAGGCAGTCAACTTCTCTTCAGGAAATAAAATGGATGTATTAGCTGAGATGATCCAGAGTTTCTAGGCAAAAACCTTCCATTGTCAATAGTGTAGAGATGTATGAGCAACTTTAACGTGTTGAGAAATCTATATGGGGAAATGGTTTGCTCTTAAATAGAGACTAAGTGTGTGTGTGTATTTAAAATGGGTCATTTATGGAGAAGAAATGTGAAATTATTTTTTAATTTGGAGATTTCTAGACTGAGAAAAGCCAGGAAAAGTATTTTGGGCTTATATGGATGAAAGACAACAACTCCCAGAATGCACTTGCTTCGCTGCCCTAAGAAGCCACGCCTACCGGTAACAGAGCACAGTAGTTAAACAACAAGTCTAGGCTACTAGTGAGTCTCTGTCATGAGTCTGTCCGAAAATGTGTTTCGAAATCGCTCAAAATGTCCAGGATTCAGCTTTTGTGTTCTACCGTCGCTATTCATTATGTTTACTGTGGTGAGCGGGACGAGTGAGGGCCGCGGGAGAACGGCGCGAGTCATGTTTACTGTGGCGATCATGTTTATTCCCGATCATGTGACTGCACCGTTGTTCTTATGTAACGGTGACTAGCTAACAGGGAATGTTCTCAAAACTTTGGCTAACATTCTGGCAATGCTCTTTCAATGTTATCAATAAACGTTATATGGTCTTTAATAATGGTCTCAGAAAGTTAGCAAAAAAAACATGATCAATACACCATTTTAAGGGTTGCACAGACTTTAATGCTCTGCCATGACAGTTAAAGCTTGATGTCGACTGGTCGATGATCATGGCCAGGGCGCAACAAGATAAGAAATCTTTGAAAGCCACTTTTACACTCCGTTTCCATCAGGTAAAATGTCATAAATGCGCTCCACAAGAAGTGTTTGATTATATCATCTGGATGCTCAAAATTTATTAAGCGAATGCACATTTTGAACATCTTACTATACACGAAAGTTATAAAGGGTTAGTTCACCCAAAAATGAAAATGATGTCATTAATGTCATCGTAGTCGTAGTTTTTGTTATTTTTAGACCAAAATGTATTTTCGATGCTTCAAAACATTGCAACTAACCCACTGATGTCACATGGGCTACTTTGATGATGTCTTTATTTCCTTTCTGGACAAGGACAGTATACCGTACACATACAGTATTTTCAATGGAGGGACAGAAAAGTCTCGGACTAAATCTAAAATATCTTAAACTGTGTTCTGAAGATGAACGGAGGTCTGACGGGCTTGGGGTGACATGAGGGAGAGTCATTAATGACATCATTTTCATTTTTGGGTGAACTAACCCTTTAATCACCATTCTGAACTAATGTGCTGCTGCATTGTAACACACACACTGACAGTAATGCACACTGAAACATTCAGCAGCAACACTTTTCTGTGATTTATCAATAAAAAAGCTTAAAAACTGAGAAGTTCTAGCATGTATTTCTTAGTAACCTAAGTAAACCAACACTATTACCTTCACTATTGGTGGAGAGATGTTTAGACATTCAGAAACAACTTTTTCATTAATGAACGTTAGCAAAATGTGAGAGCCGGGAAGAGGCAAAGCTACACCTTTAAAGGGATAGTTCACCCAAAAAAACATAATCTGTCATCCCAAACCTATATTCATATGGAGTAGGGATGCACGATATATCGGCCAGCATATCGGCATCGGCCGATATATGTTCATTTTTAATGTTATCGTTATCGGCCTGGTAAGAAAATGTGTCCGATATAATAAAGCCGATAAATAATGTATTATTCCCTCCAGCTGAGACACTTGTTGAGCACTGTTTATGTTTTTGAATTTCTTGAAATATGATTGAAATCTCTTCAAAAAATGAAAATACGGTTCGGTACAACATGTGCAGCGCAAATCTGTCGTATCGGCTATACAACACTATAACATGGACATGGATTTAATTGTGAGACTTTTGTTTTTGTAATCAGGCTCTCAAAATTAGATAAAAATTTAGATTTAAGTTTATCGGCCGATATATCGGTTATCGGCTTTCAAATATAAAGAATTATCGGTTATCGGTATCGGCCAAAATTTGCATATCGGTGCATCCCTAATATGGAGCATTAAAAATGCTCTGAAACTCAATGAAAACATGTTTTGGATCATGGATCACTATATGGACAAACAGTTCTCAAAATATCTTTTGTGTGTCACAGAAGTTTGAAAAGACATGAGATTGAGAAAATGATGACAAAAGTTTATTTTTTGAGTCCCTTTTAACAGACTTTTTGAGTAAACAAACATGAATCTAGCTTTTGGAAACCAGCTGAACAAAGTAATCTCGACCACTGGCCAGATCTCACGGCGCCGACCAACGGCAACAAACACGTCATCGGGTTTTGTCAGATCAGTGTGTTCACCAATTGACCTATGGCTTAGCCACGCCCTCAAACGCGATGAGCCAATCACACTAACCGAATAGATTCGGACATTCTCTGCTTCCACGTCCATTGAAATGCATTGAAGTTAGTCAGTTTTCATTTGATTTTTCTTGTCGTTTAAGTCTAAAATGGTCAAACGGTGTGTATGGGGTACATGCAACTATATAGCTCTATAGCTTCCCGAGAGGCTGGGCAACGGTGTGTGTTTTTTTTTTTTTTCCAAGCCACATCTTAACCGAGATAAATGTCTGCTCTGGATTAAGTGATGCGGTAGACCACAACACCAACTAAACATGGATAAATTAAACAAGAATGTCTACATCTGATTTAAGTTTAGTCAACAACGTATTTGAACGTTATCTTTAAAATCTCTAATGTTAGACATAAACATCAACGTTAGCTTCTAGCTGCGTTGTAAATCATGTCACTTAGCTTCATTAACGCATCTGTAAATAACCTTAATAACAAACGATAACAATGATTGATGTAAGTACTGTAGCACCAAACGCTGATGGCAACGAAATGCGGTTTATCACGTTTACACTGTGACCTGTACATTTTTGCCTGGAGCTGAAGCTTTTCATCGACCTTCTCAACAATAAAATTAATAATATAACACTCCAATGCATAGTTATGCCCTTTAGGTGACTTCCAGATCTTTCTGTCTCCATAAATCACCAATGGCCTCCTGTGAAATGTCTCCTACTGTGACCGCTGCCAGTCCCCGAATGTTGACTCTGTGTCAGAGTGAGTGGAGGGGGCGTGGCTTATCCATAGGTCAATTAGATCAAGTTGTTTGGACGTTTCTCCGGTCGTGGAATGTCTGAGAAGTGACAACGCTATCTCACGACCAATTCGTACGAGCGACTAAAAGGTGGCTAATTTTGTAAGACCTCACTCATACCGATTTGTCAGATTCAGAGGTAGGTCATTCGTACGAATTAGCCACCTCGTAAAATACCACGAATTGGGTTGTAAGTGACGTGTTGTAATCTGGTGATTGTGCGCGTTGGTTTTATAGTCATCTGAGATGCTCTCCAGAATTGCACATGACTCAATTTGCTCTTTGGAGAGTTTATTTAGAAGTTAAGTGCCGTGTGGACGCGTCCCATCTTGTGTTCCTGGCCTTCCGCCTGGTTTCCCGAGTCCTCCTGAGCGAGCTCCACGAGCAGAGCCCGAAGCCGCTGTCTCACGGCCCGCCTGCCCTCACCGATCTCCGCGCACTCCTGAACGGCTCTCTGCAGCGCCACCTGCAGGGGGAGACCCGCTTTAGCGCCCAGCAGCGTGGGAGAAAACCACGGCCTGAAGATCTTCTCACAGATCACCTGTGGAGAGACAAAAACAGAAGCATGACCTGCTATGGATGAGGAGAGCAGCCATTAGCGCCATCCTGGTCTCGTTTCATCATCTCCGGAGCAATCATCAGCCACATTCGCTATGCGTGCCATTTGAAAGGGACCGGAGAGCAAAATGTGATGGTCTCCTTGACCCAACAGCCTGAACGTTACAAAGCCCTCATTGTTCTGAATGGCAGGCCATACAATGGGAAGGTAGAGGTCACCAAGGGTTGCGTTAAGTGATCGGGAACGGAGAGATGGGCTCTGTCTCAGCACCTGTGGCCAGCTCGTCTGTTAGCTTGTTCTCCTTAAGGGGAGTTGGCACTGACAGCAGGTGTTGACTAGCAACCAACCCAAATGAACAGATGAAAGACGTTGCGTGACTGTGGCAAAGTATCTTTTGGAGAGTTTAAACCTGCAATGGCGGCGGCATTCGGAAAAATGGTTACTCTGGCTGTCATTATATCTTCAAGTATTTTTGGGACTTCCTTTGCGTTTGCTGTTGGTTTGACTTGTTCCCATTATTTTTTAGTGAAATTGCAAAAAAGAAAAGGAATAAGGAATCGTGTAAACGGGTTTCCTAATTATTATTTTTTTAAAATGTTATCACCCTGATCATAGACCAATGCCGTAAAAGACTCAAAAACAAAGTCACGAAATTTTTAGAGTCATATATAATCTGCACAATCTAAAAAATGCAAATTTGGGTTAAATATGGACAAACCCAAATGTTGGCTTAAAAGTAAATGCAATTAAAAAAATGTAAAGTTAAAAGTGAAAGTTGAAGTTGGGTTAAAATTTTGGGTTTGTCCATATTTTACCCAAATTTGGGTTAAAACAACCCAGCATTTTTTAGAGTGTAATATAAATATATACTTTGTACTATATATATATACATACAGTATATATGAAGAGTTCATATGCAAAAGCCTCTAAATGCTATTTGAAATTTTCTTCTTTAATGATGATTTTTATCAAACTTGTATATTTAAGTTCAGTAATTTCACTTAAATAACAATTAATAGGTAATTATCATTGCCATTTAAGTGAAATTACTGAACTTAAATATACAAGTTTAATAAAAATCATCATTAAAGAATAAAATTTCAAATGGCATTTAGAGGCTTTTGCATCTGAACTCTTCATATGTATGTATGCATGTATATTATGTTTTGTTCTTTTTTTAATGTAATTTCAGTGTAAATAGTTTTAAATATTGCGCTTTTTATGTCAATTTAACGGTAATACTTTACAATAAGGTTTCATTAGTTAATGCATTAACTAGCATGTAATGATTAATACATCTCTTACATGATTTACTAATCTTTGTTAATCATAATTAATAAAAAATGCAATTATTGTTCATTGTTAGTTCATGTCAGCTCAGGTCCTTTAAATAATATTAACAGATCCTTCTGATTTGAATAATATAGTAGAAATTATCATTTATGTTTTTCATCATGTTAACTAATGTAGTTAACAAATGAAATTTCATTGTACTGTGCTCCCAATCTAATTAATGTTTCTATTAACTGGGGTCAAATTTCCAGTGCCTTGAATTTTATTTAAAAAAAAAAGAAAAATGTAATTATACTTGATAATTTTTAACACATACGGGTCAGTTTAGGAGCATTTGAAACTATGTACTACTATTAAAAAGTCATACGAACAACCTCACAAAAAGCGATGAGCGATCAGAATTGTTGGCTTGCGGTGTTTATGGAGCCTTAATTTTTTGAATGCAGATTTGATATCTGATTTTTTGAATGTCATATGTGTGTAGTTTATCTAATCAAAGGTGCTTCCTCAGTTCGGTCAGCGCTGTTAACCCTCATTGTGTTTTAGAAGCCGCTATCTGATTCCCTTCAGCGTTATCATGAACTATTAACATTCCCCGCATTTTTCTTGGCAATGTTTACAGCGGAAGAATGATTGTCTCCTCCGGGCTGTTTTAGTGTAATCCTGTGTGACGCTTTTCAAACACAAAGTCGTTTTCTTTTCTCTTTCAGAACAAGTTAACACCCTATCGCATATATAACTGCTAACCACATAACTCCAAAAGATTATTGAATGTTGAAATATACTATAATTGATGCAGAACAGAATAGAGAGCTCACCCACCTGAAGATTACTGTTTTGGCGTTTCGGCCCGCATCTGTTTTTAGTTCTGTCACACTTGGAAATGCAGTCAAAGAAGTTGCAGTCGTTGTCACTGGTGCAGTTCTGCTCAAGTATGTCTCTCATTTTGGGCTCGAAAAAAGCCATGTCCACATCTATTGCCACCACCTGACCAGCAAAAAACAACAACAAATATAAAGTATAGTATTTATATTTACAGCGAGGCCCAAAATTTTAAAAACCACAATAATCTGGAATTCAAAATCTAATTTAATCCTGAAAAAAAAAAAATGTTTTATGATTAAAAAAAAAAATATATATATATATATATGAAAAAAAAAGAAATATTTTATTATCTGTACTATTTCTAGGACATTTATTAAAATATGTGACCATTTTCTGACAAATTTGACCATTTTTCTGACCATTTTCCATTGGAAATATTAAATATTAAAACTAAGAAAAGTCAAGAATATGATTTAAACAGAGCTTTAAATTGAAATTGTATTGCAATACTTTGCAATAAAAAAAGCAAATAGAATCTTTTTCAATAGTAGTCTCAGACTATTGAAACTCTGTAAACGCTGTTTATTAATTAATAATAGATTTTTGGTTGCACTTTATTTTACAGTATGTGCAATTATAGTGTACTTACTTAAGAAAGTGCAGGGTAATAAAAGGTACACTCTAAAAAATGCTGGGTTGTTTTAACCCAATTTTGGGTCAAATATGGACAAACCCGAAATGTTGGGTTAAAAATGTAATGTAAAAATTTAACCCAATGGCTGGGTTAGTCCATATTTGACCCAAAGTTGGGTTAAAACAACCCAGCATTTTTTAGAGTGTAACTACATGTGTTAGGTTTAGGGGTAGTTCAGGGTTACCTAGTTATTACCCAACTATTGCTATGACTATAATAAGCACATGTGTGTACATGCAGAACAGGACTGTTAAATAAACTGCTACCAGATTTGTATAGAGAGAGAGAAACAGACAGACACATACTGTAAATATATATGTAACATCTGCGGTCAGCTCTTAGACTACTAAGATTCGGCAATCTTTGACAAAGCTGTTTTTCTGTTGCTCACAAACCCTGTTTTATCAGAATAATAATGTGAATCTGTGCATAGATCTCTACATAAACAGAAAAGGACAGTAATTGAAAAAATGACCGGCAATACAAACAGAATCTTACACACATACTGACTTTTGTACACTCTAAAACAATAGGGTTGTTTTAACCCAAATTTGGGTAAATATGGACAAACCCAAAAATTTAATTTCAAATTTTAACCCAACTTCAACTTTCACTTTCAACTGTAGTTTTTTTTAAATCGCATTTTTTAACCCAACATTTGGGTTTGTCCATATTTGACCCAAATTTGAGTTGAAACAACCCAGAATTTTGAGAGTGTAATGCTGTCTGTTAGAAAGATGGCATATCTGATCTGACTTTGATTGATGGGTGTCATATCTGCATGATGTCATCAGCTGCTGTTTACAGTACGGCAGTAAAACCCGTTAAACACGCAGCGTTCATCTCAATCTCAACCTCAGCACAAATAATGTGTGCGTAATGCCCTGCATTTTCCTGTATAGATCTACAGATTGATTTTTCATCTGTTTTGGAATCATTTCATCATGAGATCTAAATAAATATTTTAGTTTACACTATAATTATCTTACTTTTTTTCTAACTGATATGCTAAAATAGATTGAAGAACTTGTTGTTAATAATATTTTGGCGTAAACTATACTTGTTAATATTTGCAATAATAATAATAATTAATAATAGCTTAAATACTTCTGGACCATAACGAGCCTTTGAGCAGTGCAAGTTTATAAGGAAATGTTTAGGAGATTTAATCGAGCAGTTAAACACTATCCTTCGTGTATAGTTTTGGCAACGAGACGAGGATTATGTGCTCATGAATTTGATCTAATTATAATAACACTTATGCAGAATAAACTAATAACAGTAATCTAATTACAGGAATTATAATGCAATCTAATACGGAAAAGAAACATTGCAAAATATTTACTCTTCATAGAAATATTGTGGGTCCAAGTCCTGATTCTGTCGAGCATTATAACATTGTAAATACTTCCATTTTTTTTGCTTCTTCTATTTAATCAGCTCAGACTTCTCTGATTAAATTAAAAGATTTGGAGCGTCACTTGTGCCACATCAGGTGTCTTTAACTACAATGTTCCAACCTTTAAATGAATCATTTGATGCAATGCACTTGTACTTTTCTCTAAATACATCTATTATTACACTATTGCCCCTTTCCTTAAACTTGTCCTAACCTTAAGCCCGGGACACGAAAGACAAAAGCTGACTGTCTTGGACCAGCATGTCATGTAAATATCTGTCTATATCAGTAGGAATCATATATTTGTCATTCAAAAGGGGAAACCGAACCTTGAACTGCAGAAACACAACTCGTAAACAAAGCATTTTGTACCGTCTTGACCTCTCTGAAAATGGTATTACAATATGACAAGAACTCTAGTTGTCAGATCAGTTGATATTTCTCTGGTTTGGGCTATACTTCTGTTAGACTGTCTCACAAATGAATTATGCTGAATATCTGACAGCTGTTAAATTTAACTACACAATTAGATTATACCAGTGTAGCTCAACCAATTACAAAGCAATGATTAATTTTGTTCATTCTGTGGTGTAAAAAGTTGCTATTAGCGATTACAGGAAAAACACTTCAGCAAAACATGGTCAGGTCAACGTGTCTGAATAATATTTGGTCCCACATTTTGATATATTTTTTTTTATTGGTAGACACTTATGGGTATAATATGTCTCAGTTTACTTTATTTGCTCTCCTCACTTACATAAATGAACTATAGAGTCCTGCACACACTAGTAAATATCACATTTACGTCTTTTTTGGTTTGACTGTGTTTGATGTAAAATATTCACAGTGAAATTTTGTGATATGACGGATATGCTTCTGGCTTTATATGAATGAGCCTATTAATTGGGTAGTTCACTTTTTAAAAAAACTTTTGCTGATAATTTACTCACCCCCACGTCATCCAAGATGTCCATGTCTTTCTTTCTTCAGTCGAAAAGAAATTAAGGTTTTTGATGAAAACATTCCAGCATTTTTCTCCATATAATGGACTTCAATGGGAACCAAACGGTTCAAGGTCCAAATGAGAGTTTCAGTGTAAACTGTTCAAGGGGCTTTAAACGATTCCAGACGATGAATAATAGTCTTATTAAGTGAAACGATCGCTCATTTAATAAATAAACAACAAACTTTAAGTTTTATAAGCACAAATGCTCGCATGATGCGCGTTCGTGACTCTCCTGTTCGAACTCGTCCATCAAAATGAACAAATCTTTTTCCGAGTCAGTTCGTTCATTTCGTTCGTTGAATGAACCAAATGACTCGAAAAAAGATTTGTTCATTTGCAGTTTTACTGAAACTCTCATTTGGACCTTCAACTGTTTGGTTCCCACTGAAGTCCATTATATGGAGAAAATCCTGGAATGATTTCATCAAAAACCTTAATTTCTTTTCGACTGAAGAAAGAATGACATGGACATTGTCAGCCAATTTTTCTTTTAAAAAACTCACCGTCAGGTCCTTCCTGATGGCAAAGTTCTCCGGTTTGATATCACAGAGGTGTAAGCGGTGTGAAAAGTCATTCTCGAAATGCTCCACCATCTCCAGAAAGCTCAGAGCCACTCGGGGAACCATGTCCCCGGCGGTGAACATCTCGTCCCGTCCGCTCCCGGGGCTCGGCGAGGCGCTCAGTTCCTCCAGAGAGAAGATTTGTTGGTCCCATGCGTGTCCGGCGGCCAAGAACTCCACGGCATAGAAGTGTCCACAGGAGCCCAGGATCTTGGCCACGTGGTGCGTCAAATCCTGCAGGACCCTGAGGAAGATGTACTCCTCCTGCTGAAGGAGAGCCCAGAGCGAGGCCAGCTCAGCTCGCGAGTACGTGCGCTCGCTCTCCTTCAGCTTCTGACCCCACAAGCGGGGCAGCGTCAAGTTAGTTCCCGTCTCCAGGCCGAGCGAGTTCTTGATCTCCAGGGTGGCGTAGAAGACCACATCCAGAGGCGAGAGCTCCTCCTCGCCCGTTCCCCCGGCCCCGTCCTGGTACTCCAGCAGAGCTAAAGCCTCGTAGGAGGAGAAGTTCTCCAGCTTGGACTTGAGGACGACAGGCACCCCGCGCCAGCTGGCCGCCATCACCTTCTTGCCATTCTCGTAATAAAGGCAACGTTTGTATTCCACGCGACCGGCCACGCAGAGGTCATCACAGAGGTCACCGCTCAGAACGCCCTGCTGATACTCGTCACACTGAAACACACACACACACATCGCTGCGTTACACTCGCTCTTCACATTAGAAGCTCAATGAGCACCATATTTCAGTGCATACTGTGTGTATATGAAGAGTTCAGATGCAAAAACCTCTAAATGCCATTTGAAATTTTCTTCTTTAATGATGATTTTTATCAAACTTGTATATTTAAGTTCAGTAATTTCACTTAAATAACAAATGGCAATGATAATTACCTATTATTGTTATTTAAGTGAAATTACTGAACTTAAATATACAAGTTTGATAAAAATCATCATTAAAGAAGAAAATTTCAAATGGCATTTAGAGGCTTTTGCATCTGAACTCTTCATATATATATATATATATACATATATACATTTAATAATAAATCAAGTGTAAATCAAGAACTAAATGCTGTTCTTTTGAACTTTCTATTCATCAAAGAATCCTGAAAAATAAAATGTATGTCGGTTTCCACAAAGATATGAAGCTGCACAACTGTTTTCAACACTGGTAATTATCAGAAATGTTTCTTGAGCATCAAATCATGTGATTTCTGAAGGATCATGTGACATTGAAGCCTGGAGTAATCACAGGAATAATGACCTTACAAGTTCGATTAAACCAAAGTATGAGGGAAGAACAAAAACACTAAACTTAAGATATCTGACAAAATTATTTTGCAAAACAAAAGTCAAACTACAGCTACATGTTATATCGCAAAAATGCGTAGAAAAAAAAAGCTCAACAATAACAACAAAAATCATTGACTACAACAATCAGTTATTAATATTTTGTTGGTTCTCTCATGTTTTTTGCATGTGCTTGTAATTTATTTGTATGACAGCGTGGACAAAAGGGATGTCAGAACAATTTGTTTCATTGCGTTGATTACTAACACAATATTGCTTAAAAATAAATAAATAAATAAAGGGTGAATTTGTCGATTTTCCTAAGCTTGACATTTTGACCACTACTATATATATATAATTTGTACAATTCCTAATTTTATATTGTGTACCATTTGTGTTATGCTTATTCTTATTCCTAGCATGTCCTAGCACCCGCCTCAGTTTCATATAGTCTCATTATTATGATGTGTCATCAAACTAATTTCCTTTGCGTTAAAGCAGTTTTTAATGAATGCAATCTTAATTCCATCTTATATCACACATTTTGAGATACTGTACCAATGCCACCTGTCAGCATATTTTACTGCCATGCATGAAATTCACATATTTAATCTTGCAAACCAGCCAAATAGGCATCTTAATGCATGGATTTAAAAGAGATCTGCTTTTGCTCTTGTATTTCCCTCTTTGACCCTCTGGTGAGAAATGAGCTCTGGCTGTTGTTGCTGCAGTCTGCACATATATGTGTGGGTTCAGGGGCTTCGGCGCTGCGGATGATTTGTGTTCCACTGAGATTACACTGCAAATCGTCCTCTGTCACCTTCCAAAGTAAACAGCTGTTATCCGCTCACAGTCCGGCTGCTATCGGCAGTGGCTTTAGCGATATGTTTTCCTTATCATTAGCATATCAGAATGGTCTGTGGGATGCTCTTGCTTGTCCCCTGACATAAAATATGTCCTCTGTGTTAGAAAAAAGCCTGCTAACGCATTTTTCTCATTTATCATAAAACTGAAGTTCACACGTTTGTGTAGCTAAACCTGCTTGGCTGAAATTGGCAATGAGTGTTGTTCGTTTGTGCAAAAGTTGCTATGTGAGCATGTGAGATATAGTCCGAAAATCTGAAATTTTGGCTCAATCGGTCAAAGCATAGAAATGTAAAGGTTGCACTTTGTTTTAAGGTCTCAGACTCATTGTTACAGTGTAATTATATACTTGAATTGACTACATGTACTTACTATAGGGTTAGGGTGTTGCATATGTAACAATACTGTAAAATAAAGTGTTACCAAATGTAATAGCATTCTCTACAAGAGATGAGCTTTAATGGGGGAGTTTGTGAAATGTTGAAAAATGCATCGATTAGAATGAATCAATTCGAATTTCTGCGTTCTGTTCAATATGAACCCTATACTGTACGTTGCAAAGCGATTTATATATTCGTTTGCATGTGCATCCAAACATTACATCGCCACGTCAAAAACCATAGAAAGCAACCACAATGATGCAGCGTATCTACTTCATTAATAGTATAGTAACAATACTAATTTAATTTAGTATTAGTACAGGTTTTGGCCTGTTCGATTGAGTCATCAAACCGTTTAATACCATATTATATGAGTGCATGTAAACGTAGCTAATGATCTCTATAATAAGTTTCGGTAACACTTTACTTGAAGGGGTGTGCATAAGCCTGACATGACACCTTCATAATCATGACAACATATGTTATGAATATGAAGGAGTGTTTATGCATGTTTATGACAACTGTCATTAAGTGTCATTCGCTTAGTTATGACATTTTTAATGCAAATATGACATTGTTTGAGATGTCTTTGTTATGACACCTTGACAAACCAATACATCATAACCTGTCAGTGTCTTTGTCATGACAACTTGACTTTACTAAGACGACACAACCTGTCATAAACATGACATAGCAGATTAATGATCAAACTTAAGAAACCACCTAGCTTTATTGGTTAACATTACATTAAACTGTCAGGTGGTTGGTTTTGACATTGGCTGTCATGAAGCCATTATAACTTTTTAATGACAAATTCAGCTGTACAGTTATATGTCTTCATGACAGCCAATGTCAAAACCAACCACCTGACAGTTTAATGTAATGTTAACCCATAAAGCTAAGTGCTTTCTTAAATTTGATCATTAATCTGCTATGTCATGTTTATGACATATTTATTAGGGGTGTGCAAAAAAATCGATTCACATTTGAATCGCGATTCAATCTTTACCGATTCAGAATCGATTCATAGAATTCCAAAAATCGATTCATAGGCTATATTTTTTAATGGCGTGCAGGGGCGGAGTGGCAATCGGTAAGTCGGGACTTTTACCGGTGGTCCGGTAGTGTTTCTATGGTTTCAAAGCTGCGAGGGCGGTCTGATAAATAGTTATTGCAAGTTCTTGCCGCCCGCTGGTCAAACTGTGCAGCCACTCTGCTCAACCCGTAAATAAATGCATCGATCCGCAGATCTTATGTTTGAGTTCTGTAGATCTTTTGCCAAGCGTGTCAGAGGTTACGGGTTCTAAACCGCACTCATATAGTTTTTTCTCTCTCTAATCAAAACCGAATATGTTCATCACGTTTGTGTGCATTTTATTTTGTGATTTCACCGGAGTCTCCACAACGGCGATAGATTGAAGCGCGCGTCCGAGAGAAGACTGCGCGAGCCACAGAGAACACTGTATCCATGACACTGATTGCAGCGGACACGAGCGCTCAGTTTGATTTCAAAAACAACACGTCTCTTATTTAATAGCGAACTAAATGAATGCTCTGCTAGTTAACTGTAGATACCCGCAAATTACAGCGCCTATGAACGACTTCACTGGATCTAAACAAATCAATCTAACCATAGATGTTACCAGTAGCGGTGGCTTTTTTAAATCTATTTAAAATATTTTCGCAAGGGTTCTATGAAATTAGTAGCCTAGCCTATATATTTTTAGGGAGTTCAATGTGCCCAGTCGAGTTCATTTCAACAGTCAACCTGGTAGCTGAAGTAGGCCTACTCCTTAAACCACATTTAGCATAATTGTTTGTTTGATCTGACTACAGCACTTTAAAGCTAAATGTAAAAGCTTTTTATTTAAGTTTTATTTTAAACTTGAATTAAATGTATTTAAAAGCTGGCCAAAGCTTGGCACTTCGCAAATTTTAGTTGCAAAAGTTTTTATTTTTGTATGAAGACATATAAAGTAATATCAAACTTTTCTTTTAAATTATGTCTACTGCAATCAATCACATAGGAAAAAGTAAACTACATTTATGTAGACCTGCGAATCGTTTTTTGAATCGAGAATCGTTTTTGAATCGAAAATCGATTTTGAATCGAATCTCGAGACAAAAAATCGGTATCGAATCGAATCGTGACATTTTCTGAATCGTGCACCCCTAATATTTATGATAGGTTATGATGTATTGGTTTATGTCAAGGTGTCATAACAAAGACATATCAAACAATGTCATATTCGCTTTACAAATGTCATAACTGAGCGAATGACACTTAATGACAGTTGTCACAAACATGCATAAACCCTCCTTCATATTTATGACGTGTCATGTCATGATTATGAAGGTGTAATGTCAGTCTTATGCACACCCCTTCAAGTAAAGTGTTACCCAAGTTTCAATAATTCTGCCAGAAATGCTGAAGAGGTTTCTGTCGTCAAACGGCTCTTGCCACCAAAGATAGCCTGTGATAATCTACTGACAGTTTTAGAAATTTAGCATGATCATCTAACAGTGTGTTTGTTGCTCCGACATACATATAGTACTTGCTATCCAATCAAAATGCAACATGAAAAGTGTATTGATCAAGCTGACATGCGCTAATACTTCCTCAAGCTCCATTTGTAGCATTGGTGCCAAGTTGGCCTCTTTTTCTCCACTTTAAGGCCACATTAAAAACCACAATTGCCAAAGTGTGATTCATCTAAGTCTATGTGTTTGACACTATAGCGCATACTGATTAGAGCCAGACCGATATTATCGGCCGATATTAGGCATTTTCCATAATATCGGTATCAGCAGTTATAATGGCCGATAAATGAACATTTAAAAAATAAAATAAAAACGGACGAAACACGCTTCAATCATCTCTCCTCGGCCTGTTATATTGAAAATGTATGTTTTACAACTTGCAGTATGATGTTATCTATTGCTAACCATAGACTAGCTAACCACAAAGCTAGCTAATGCCAATATCATCAGTGGAAGACCGCTAACGTTAACATTAATGAGCTTGGAAACCACAATGAACTTTTTCTGAAAGCTAGCGTATATCTAGTTACAGTCCCTGCAATGTAAAATGTAAGTTATACTTGCGAGGAGTGAACATTTAGACATAGAGAAAAAGTATCAAACGTATCTTGTGCAGAA